CAACTTAAATGTAAAAATCTATTATAATTAATGAAATAACAAATAATTGTATTAAAAATTCAGTAGTTAAGTTAAATACTAGATAAAAAATCAATCCACGTGACATATTTTATTGCACGCATGATACTTCCAGTCTTCTGTAGATTTGATTTACAGTCTCATTATTGACACAAATTATGTTTTTTTATATACTGGTATTCGTTAGTTTGTAAGAAGCTTTGGAAATTATAATCTGTAGATATATATATACTTAATAACAACATTCGTTAAATTTTACAAACTTTTCCCTAATTTTAGAAGAATTAACAACATAATGTAAAAAATAAAAATAATAAAATATTTCAGAAATAACAAGTAATTGTTTTAAAAATTCATTTTTCATCGAAATGTCTTTTTGCTTTCAGACAATATTGTCCATGTTCATTAAAAATGAATACTAAAAGAAATTAAAAGCTTTTTGAAATTAAATAATATTTTTGTTTTATTGAGTTTTGTATGTTACAATTCAGAGATGATTTTCAGGTAGAGGTGGTCCAACTAAAAAAAAAAAAAACATTTGGTTTCCTCAAAGCCTTGACTTTTAACTAATATAATCACTAATCTTCCCAAAATTGAAATTATAGAGTTTTCGAACACTTAGTTGGGAGGGGGGGGGGTAATACATATGAAAAAAAAAAATTTTGTCATGACTTTAAAAAAGGAAAACATATTTATAATTTCCATCATTGGTGAATAGTTTCTAAAAGTTTCATTAAAATCCGACAATTACATTTGAAACATTTTCAAAATTAATATCTGTCGTACAGAAAAAAAACAAAAAAAAAAATGCTAAAATTTTATGTTATTTTAGTTTTACTAGTTCCGGTGATACAAAGAGAAACGAGTTTTTTTTGGGTTTTTTTAATCAAAATTTAGAATGTTCTAAAAAGAAAACAAATTTAAAATACTTTGATCTTTCCTGGTAAACATTTAGGACACTCGGCTAAAATTTTGTTTTCGTCAAGTTTGGAGTCTTTTTTTTATTATATCATGCTATGCTCTGTTTTTAGCGATCTCATGAAGGTACCTAAAAAACTTACGTTAGCGCTTTTTTTTTTTTGGTGGGGGGGGTCTTTCTTTTTATGTACCTAGTCTTTAAACTATGATTTAAAACGTTTTTCACATAGTTTGGCCAGTTTAGCTTAACAATAGAAAGCCTATCCCCCACTTTATGTGCAGTAGAATTAATATTCATTTTTACCTATACCCTCAACGATGTTTTTGTTTTTGTTTTTCAAACTTTTGCTATTAATTTAAAAAAAAATAAAAAATCCTATTCACATGTACATTTGCTTCTTCAACATATTTTTTCCAGTTATTATTGCACAATTCTCTTTCATGCAGACATTCTTTTCACTTCTCAGTTTATTACTTATATTTTTCTTTTAAATTTTGTTTTAAAAGTTTTTTTGTGTTTTTTTAAATGATAAAAAAAAACAAAATAAAATAAAAACCCTTTACTGATTTGCCAGACAGGGAGTGTCTAGACACATCCGGCTAAGTAAACCTTGACCCTCGACGAAAGACGGTCAAGCAACAACAGATTTAAAAGAATTTTTCTTTGAACCAATGGAATGACGGGATTAATATTTTCTTCAAAATCAAAATACACATGTGATCCAAGTTGACCGATTTCTTTAACTACAAGAATAAAAGTTAGCGAAAAGGACGGCACATCCAAACAAAAACAACCAACTGAAAATTGTAACGATTTTAAATGTAAGTCAGCATTTCTTTATTTATACAATTTTTTTTACATACATATATATTTTTGCCAAAGAAACCGTCTTTATACATACATACTTGTCGCAAAAAGATTTCTTTCTATTAAAAAATTAAACAAAGGAATTGTATTTAAATTTAACCTCTATGAACTGGTGTGCATATATTGTTAATGTTATTAAATGTCTAATTGTTCTGAGTTCTTTTCCTTGAATGTATTTTCATTGCTATTATTATATTTGAACCTTCTTCATTCAAGCCAACAAAAGCAAAAGCACAAATGTTGAACAGGATAAAAAATAAAATACGTGTACACAACACATTTGAAAATTTTGTAAGAAATTCTGTCGTCTATGTTTTTTTTTTTTATATTAAATATCGGAATGTCCAAATTCCAGACAATAATGAAATAAAAATAAAGAAAACATGGTCTCATGCCTGTTACATAAATCATTGGTATTTATTTACAAATATGTCCATGAATTCAAAAGAGTTAAAAAAAAAAGTGGGGGGGGATAAAAATAATCTTTAGTTGAGTTTTAGTCTTTTGGTTAGTTGGTACACAGAAAAATCTGAAGTTTAGAAAAGACTTTTAAATAGTTGATTCAGAATCAAATCAAATCCGTGGTTGAAAAAAAATCACTGAATGTTTCACTGACCGTTGTTGATGATGATGATTCGTTTGAAGTCGTTGATCCATGTTTCTTTCAGCACGAACTGGAGGTAGGGGAGACAGTCGCATCTCACATCTCTGAAAGTCCAAATCTGTGGGTTCTTATAAGACATTTTTCCTGAAAGTAGGCTCGATAAAAATAGGGTTTTGGTCAAATATTTCATAGGGTGATGTTAATTTCTAGCCAATAGATACTTTGATTTAAACGTTGTATGTTGTATTGTGGAATCTTTTTTGGCATCATCAGTTCAAAGATTTTAACCAATGAAATAAAAATATATACAAATACACAGTAAGTATTATATATAGAGATTCCTATATATTCTTATTCCTAAATGATTGCTTTAAGAAAAGAGAACTGAAATAGAATAATTCATGAACATATTTGGATCAGTTGAAATTGAATATTACTATCATTACATAAGCATATTATGTAAGTAGACAGGCATTCCAGTAAAAGGAATTCATTTTGATTGGCAAAACTTGAAAAACATGAGAAATTCATTGTCAAATAAATAAAACCGACTTGTAATTAAAAGAAAAAGACTGGAAAAATAATTTTGTGAGAGGCATAGAAATTTTGAAGAGACATTTTTCTAAAGAATTTAAGAGCATTGTTAAGAAACTAACTACTGCAAAAGATTTTCTTCTCTGGGTTTATAATTCTTTTTCAGATTTTTAATTCGTCACATTTTTTTTTCTTGGATTTTCTATGAAAAGACTTTGTAAAGAAAGGTGAATATAAAATGATTTTAAAAATAATACGACAAAACTAAGTAATGTTTATTTCTCTTTCTCTTAAGTGGAGAATTATTGGTGGTGGGGGGGCAAAAAGTAACAATAATAACAGAACACAGGACATAGAAGATATGAATTATAAAAAGTTTATTCCAAGACAAACATGTTACGGGTTATCCTAGGCATACACAATTTTGATGCATTGTATACAGAAAATATGAAATTTTAGACCAATAATAAAATTGATGAAATAAGGCAAAGTCAAGTATATTTATGCACATTGTAAAACATCAAACTTTTCCTACGTTTTGTTCAATTTCGTAAACCAATCGATGAAATTTGAATAAGTTGATTTGTTTGGAAAATACTTTCACAAAAACCCTACTTCACGTTTTAATAATTTCTTTAATCTAATTTAATTTTATGGTACTTCATGGTAAACAATATTCTTTAAGAGAATTTTTTTTCTTTGCTTTTTCTTTTTTAATAGTAAAGAATAAATTCTTAAGATTTCTTACTCTTGAGCATGCAACATACAACTGGCCATCTGTAAATATTTATTTCTGGAGCCAAATTCCAACTTTTTCAACCCTTTGGCTTTGTGATTTGTTTATTGTTCCCGCAAACGCGTGACAAACTGGAAATTGTATTCTTGTTTATAAAAACTTAAAAAGAAGCTATGCAAAAAACAATGTTGTATCGTCATTAAATAAGTATTTGTTAATTTAATAATTAGATTGTTTTTAAAATAGTGGGAGTATTTTGTATGTTAATTTTTCCAAAAACATTAATAAAAATTTATTGTATTAAGCTACATACCCTAGTAAAACCAACTGTACTTTTTACCTCCTTGCCTGTTTGCACTTCTCCTCATCTTTGTTGCCATATTTGTATGCTCCAGCCTTCTTCAGGTGGTTGGAATGTCGAACTATTTCGCTCACTGGGGTAGACTGTTCTAGTTCCATGTGCCATGTTTAATGGATGTCACTTATCAGATATCCTCTGTTAATTCTGTGTATGAATTTCTGGGTATTATAAACCTAATGTCTTCAGCAACCTTTTCTACCAGTGCTCATATTGCAATTTTTGTTGTTTCAGATGAAATTAGAATCACCACAAGTAATAGTCATATGAGTATGAATAGTAATACTTTGAAAATAATAATGTCTTCGACATAACTGTTTACATGTTTAACTTCAGTTAGAATGTCTGCTTTTTTGTATTTGCAATTAAACAACCAGATGAGGAAACTATTGCTCAACTTAGTAGACTCAAACGTAATACTGCAGTCATATCCGGCCTGGAGCTGTACAATCCTCTCTTTCCAGCCTTTATGCAACCTTCTGCAGCCTTTTTCCCACTGATGCAAAGTGACAAACCTCTCACGCTATTCCATGTCAAATAGTCACATAAACTATATTCCTTAGTTCCACCAGTTCAGACCGTCACAGCTTGAAACCTCCATGCAACACAGAGGCAAACAATCCTTATTCCCCCCTTTGTATTCCACTGGTTAGAGATAAGTTCCATCCAGAAAGCTTATTCCCAAAGGGGGTTGCTGCTTTGTGGAACAGACTTTCCCTGATCACTATAACCTTTACCCTCAGTCAAGTCTAGGATTGACTGTTATTTATCCTGGATATTCTAGATATAACCTGTACTTACTTTCCCCTCTTACTTCCATGCAACAACCTCATTCAGTAACCCTCTACCTTGGATGGCTCTTGGACCTTGTATTGGGTGAACATTTCTAGAAAATAAAATATAACATCATGGAAGTTTTTGTTACCAGATGGTCTCAGCAAGCTTCTGTCATAATTTCACCTAGACTCTCTCTCTCTCTCTCTCTCTCTCTCTCTCGCAGTTACTCTCTTACACCCTTTTGCTCTCTATTACTCCCACTCTCTTTCTCATTCACTCTTTCTTACTCCCTTTCTCTCTATCTCTCTCATTTGCTCTCTTTCTCTCATTCACTCTCTCTCTTACTCCCTCTCTCTCATTTCCTTCAGGGCGTGTGTGGTTATGACCCTCCACTGCTTGTTAGGTAGGTTACTCACTGTTTCACTCTGCACCTCTTGCCTCCTATCTGTCTTGTGAGTGTCAAATTTCCAAACCTTCATTCCTTATTATTTATCCTAGAAAATTCAACTGTCGCTTTCTGTAAGTGTCTTTTTTTGTTGCCATTTTCCTTAAACTCCCACCTTGTTTCTTACATGCTGTGTCCATGGTATTCTCAGCATCCTTCTGTCGAACCACATTTCTGTTGCTTTAAGACTCTTTCTCATCTGTGTATTCACTGCCTTAAAGTAGACCGATTTTATGTAACAATTGAGCATTCTTCTTTTTCAAATGATATTTTTCTGTTTCTTAATACTTTGTTTATCTTTTGAAAGGCATCTTTTGATATTCCAGTGCATTTTCAGAGTGTGGTTGCACAATTTCTATTAAAATACTTCCCAGATATTTAAACTTCTGTGCTTGCTTGATTTTGACATTTCCAATTTGTAGCTTGCATAGTGGGCTTTTCTCTTGCTTACAATCATACATTTTATCTTTTTACACTTGATAGTTAGTCCTTTCCTCATGCTTTCCTTTATTACCTCATCAAGGAGTTTCTGAAGTTTTTTTTCTGCCTATCTGTGTATTTTATGTTGTCAAGATTGTGTCCACTAATAATAAATCCTGGTAGGATCACTAGTTCTCTTAGGATTACTTTGTTGTAAAGGTTGAATAAATCTAGTGAGAATATGCATCCTTGCCATTTCTATATTTTATGAGTTTTCCTCCTTAGCACTTTGACTGCAACAATATAAGTCATAAATGGCAATATTATACAGGCATGGCAATATTATACAGTTAGGTGTAGCAATATTATACAGTTAGATGTAGCAATATTATACAGGCATGAAAATATTATACAGACATGACAGCATTATAGTCAGGTGTCTCAATATTATACATGCATGACAATATCGTACAGACATGATAATATTACAGACAATATTTACATTATTCGGACTATTGACCACATCTTTGTCGTCATGTTTATCACAACGTTTCAGCCATTATATGCTCTGGCCTTCTTCAGGTGGTTGGAATGTCGAACTGAACCCTTTATTTCACTCACTGGGGTAGACTGTTCTAGTTCCATGTGCTATGTCTAATGGATGTCAGTTATCTCCTGTTAATTCCCCTCTGAAAGTTCTCCACTGCCTTAACCAGGTATTGAACTCACACTCTTTGGGTCCTGTCACTGGATCTAACTAACGCCTTTATCCACTGTGCCATGTGTCCTTGAGGAGATAACTGACATCCATTAGACATGGCATGTGGAACTAGAACAGTCTACCCCAGTGAGCAAAATAAAGGGTTTGATTTGACACTCCAACAACCTAAAGAAGGCTGGAGAGTACAACAGCCAAAACGTTGTGATAAACATGGTGACAAAGATGAGGACAATAGTCAAAATAATGTTAATAGTGTACATACCTCATCTCAGAAATGTGGACAGATATTACAGACAATGAAAAAAATTGCAAATTGTATTTCCAGCATTGAAAAAAGAAGCCAAATTGTCTACAATGACCAGTGATTTATATTCCTGTAATTTATTCTTGAAAACTGTCACAAAAATAACTTTTAGATTTCTCGTTGTCAATGATGCTATTTTTCCCCAAAATACATTTTGGAAATTTCACCCTGACGTCCGATAGATCAAAAGTTACCATTCCATTTTACTTAATTTGATATTTACTCTTTTTGTTTCAAAATTTTAAAAATTAAAATTGACTTCCAGGTATCCTTGATGCTGAAAATATACTAATTGCTGTTTATAAATTTGTTTTGCCCCAAATCGACTCTGCTGTAATTCTGTCTATTCAAAATCTTTTTGCTTTTCAAAAGAAAGAAAGAAAAAGGAAAACAATAATAAGTTAACAACATTCACCCATTCTCTTATACGTCAACTGGACTTCATTTTTTTTAGCAGTTAAAAGGGATATAAAGAAACAGAAAGAAAGAAAAAAAGAGACTGAAAAGATATAGACACACGCACATATATATATATATATATATATATATAGTAAAAATAGTTTTGAAATTTTGGTAATTCCTGTGTATGGAACCATATTTTATCATTATTTATAAATATATATATATATATATATATATATATATATATATATATTATATATAAAAAATAGTTTTTGAAAAATAGGAACCATTTTTTGAAATTTTTATAATATATATATATATATATATATATATATATATATATATATATTTTTAGTAAAAATTCCTGTTTTGTTCCTGTGTAGCGATGGAACCATATTTTAAATCAGTTAATTTATAATATATATATATATATATATATATATATAACCTTTCACACTGATTTCTTCTCTTTTTATGGAATTGTAAGGTTCACTTTGTTTGAGGAAAAACAAACCAAACCAAAACAGTAGAATGCCACTTGCACTCTTCTATTTCCTTGTCTCCCTCCCCTGTCTCCTTCATCTTCACCAATGTGATAGATATTTATTAGGACCATGCAGAGCTGTTTTTCCTCATGCCCCTTTATATTTCCATCCATTCTCCCATAATGCAACATGCATCACCTAATAAATTACCCCCCGCCACACACACACACACCTTCTGTGATGTTTAGTTTCTCTCATTTTATCCTTCCACAACGACTTATTGAAAAGGTTATTTTTAGTGAGTACACGATATATTTTTCTTTAGTAGGACTTTGCAATTTAGGCTGGTTGATTAATTTCACGGTTTAAGAAAATGAAAAATACAGACAGCAACTCAAACACACACACACACACACACACACATATATAGATATATATACAAGGTAGTATATATATATATATATATATATATAGAGAGAGTAGATAAATTGGTCAATAAAACAGTCAAACAAAAGGGTACTGATGAAATCAGTATGAAAAACATTTATTAATATTAGCCAGGTGACAAAAATGAAGATTGAGGTTCCAAGTTCGAAATTTTCAAACACACCTGTGTTCTTCATTAGGAGATGTGAGAAATAAACAGATGGGGACGGTGGAAATTATCCAACATTTTCTAATTATATATATAAACTTTTTTAAGCAATATATATTTGTTCCTAATGCTTTGAATTATATATATATATATATATATATATATATATATAATTTATTTGTTTAAATGTTATTTTTTTAAATGAATGAATCATATTTGAGTAGATGCTCTGTTTTTATTTATCTATTAAACAGTATATTTATTTACTTACATTTCTTGGCCTGAATGTTCGAGAAATTTTGTTAGAAAAATATGCATCCTCTAGTAGGATGCATATTTAATAAATAAATAAAAATAGAGAATCTACTCAAACATGAGTATTCATTTCAAAAATAATGTTTAAACAAATACATTAAAAAATCTATTGTATTTAAATCAATTTTGTGTGTATATATATATATATATATATATATATATATGTGTGTGTGTGTGTGTATATATATATATGTATATATATATATATATATATATATATATATATATATATATATATATATATAAAGTGTGTAGCCGACTTGTTAGAACATTCATTTTCCTGACCATGAGACCCAGGTTCAAATCTCCCAAATGTCATTCTGTCAGGAAGATGACTTCTTGATGTTATTGGCCTGTGACAGGCAATCCCAGCATGCAGCACTGTTAAAAAGTGCCCACAAACCTCACCATGAGTTGACCCAAGCCTTGTGAGTAAAATTGGGTAGATGGACTTGTTTTGATTGTACTAGCATGAAGTCACAAGTCATCGTGGCCAAGAGCATGAGCGTACTGGCTGTGTTCAAATTGTTAATCATGCTGGATGATGTGCTCCCTCCTGGAAACTGTAATTAATCTCTCCTCAAAATTATAAACTACTGGTGGGCTGTGTGGATGTTGAACAAACACAAATGTGCCTGATCATGTACCTGTTACAGGGATTGACTATCAATCCTAGAAGAAAGGTAGAATCAGATACAAACATCCAGCTATTAGCCATTATCAAGGATGTTTTTTTTTTGTTTAACTGAATAATAAAAAGAAGAAACCTACTCTCAATAATACCAGTTATGAACACGTCCACAATGTGCTGACAATGTTCAGAAATTAAAGACATTCTCATCCCTATATATACATATAATAATAAAAAAATCTACATATATTCACTTAAACAAAAAAAATCCTTGATATGGCTAAATAGATTAGCCAAAAGCAGTTGAATCTACAGATCATAAAGACAGTTTTTACTCCATGTTCAAAATAGAAATCCATTGTACAAATGCAAGAAAAATTTAATAAAAGCTTAATCACAGCATTTGTCAGTCATCTTCAATGAAAGTATATATATATATATATATATATATATATATATAT